TCGGTAACTGGAACACGTATTGCTCATCTGTACACCAGTAACTCATCTACAATACACACCAGTAACTCATCTACAATACACAGCAGTAACTCATCTACAATACACACCTGTAACTCATCTACAATACACACCAGTAACTCATCTACAATACACACCAGTAACTCATCTACAATACACAGTAACTCATCTACAATACACACCTGTAACTCATCTACAATACACAGCAGTAACTCATCTACAATACACACCAGTAACTCATCTACAATACACACCAGTAACTCATCTACAATACACACCTGTAACTCATCTACAATACACACCAGTAACTCATCTACAATACACACCTGTAACTCATCTACAATACACAGCAGTAACTCATCTACAATACACACCTGTAACTCATCTACAATACACACCTGTAACTCATCTACAATACACACCTGTAACTCATCTGCAATACACACCAGTAACGTATTTACAATACACACCAGTAACTCATCTACAATACACAGCAGTAACTCATCTATACACACCTGCTCATCTATACACACCTGCAATTCATCTACAATACACACCAGTAATTTATCTACAATACACACCTGCAACTCATCTACAATACACACCTGTAACTCATCTACAATACACACCTGTAACTCATCTATACACACCTGCAATTCATCTACAATACACACCAGTAATTTATCTACAATACACACCTGTAACTCATCTACAATACACACATGCAACTCATCTATAATACACACCTGTAACTCATCTACAATACACACCTGTAACTCATCTACAATACACACCAGTAACTCATCTACAGTACACACCTGTATATTTTCTACAATACACACCAGTAACTCATCTACAATACGCAGCAGTAACTCATCTACAATACACACCAGTAATTCATCTACAATACACACCTGTAACTCATCTACAATACACATCAGTAACTCATCTACAATACACATGAGTAACTCATCCACAATACACACCTGTAACTCATATACAATACACACCAGTAACTCATCTACAATACACACCTGCAACTCATCTACAATACACAGCAGTAACTCATCTACAATACACATGAGTAACTCATCCACAATACACACCTGTAACTCATATACAATACACACCAGTAACTCATCTACACTACACACCAGTAACTCATCTACAATACACACCTGCAACTCATCTACAATACACATGAGTAACTCATCCACAATACACACCTGTAACTCATATACAATACACACCAGTAACTCATCTACACTACACACCTGTAACTCATCTACACTACACAACTGTAACTCATCTACACTACACACCAGTAACCAGGGTCGGCTTTAGCTTCTATTACTTGTCCCTTACTTTTATCCTCTTCTCCGCTGTTGGTCACGTCTGGGTCACAACCGTTGCCAAGTACTGGGGACGCACTGGCTCCTGACTGTATTTGAACCTCTACTACTGGAATCTTAGTTGTGGGATTTTTTGTTTGGTTGAAAATTGTCTGGTGGAGTTTCACACGATGGAGTATTACCTGAACCTGTACCCTATAATATCACTTTATTTTAAACGATATTTCTGAGTTATTTTCCGATACATCAATGACACAAGTGAACTTTACCCTAAGCACACAATAGCGATTATGTACCTGATACAATGGTATCCGCCTCTCCTCTTTGTATGGTACGGTAGATAACACCTCCCTTACATCACGGGAAGCTTATCCACCCCTACTTATACTTACCCCTTTCGCCTATCTATATCTCATTTCCATAACTATAACATAACATAACTCCTTAATGATCAACATTAAAATATGCTCCTTTTTTTTACATAAAAATTTGTTTATTAACTTTCGTTTAACTATTAAATGTGAAGTATTTGTTGTTTTTAAAGTAATGGCATACGGGTACATGGCAGCGTTCCCCCATCCCCTCCCTCCGTGGTAACCATCGTCTTCTACAGTAACTCAACGGGAGGGATTTTATCAGCCAGTTGTTTACATGCGGTACTGCTAGACACTAGAGGGTCTGTCTACTAGGTGACTGTGTGTGTGCCACTCGGGAGGAGCTGCATGCTAGGAAGACGTGAGCGCCATGGGTGGAAAATTGTTTCTTTTACTTTTACTCTGTCATGTTGGTGAGTAATGTTGTTATATTTATTATTATTATTATTATTATTATTATTATTATTATTATTATTATTATTATTATTATTATTATTATTATTATTATTATTATTATTATTATTATTATTATTATTATATATATCATTATTATTATAATCATTATTACATGCATACATACAGTGCATTCAAATTTATTGACCACAACAATACAAAATAATACGACTACATTCAGTAACTTCATTATGTATGATTATGATAAACATTTAACCAATACCAGATTAGATAAATTGCAAAATGAGAAACATTTAGTTACATGCGACTGTATTATAAATAATTAATATACAGTATACTCGTATTGCAGAGTACATAACCCAATCTGCAGTCCACACAAAACTGTAATTTTCGTCTATATGAACAATACTGAAAGACGGTTAATATTACATTAACTTTACAAACACACAGACTCCCATGAATAGTTTTACATTAAATATCAGCAGTAAAATGTTATGTAAATAGGTCCTACATTGTGGCACATTCGTAAATTCCTTTTTATATATTCAGTCAAAGGTTAACACTGCACCATCTGCCTGAACATAATATTGTAGTTGAAATAGTTACTCCTGTAGGAGCCAACACCCACGTCTATTCCAGCTTCCTGTTTCTTTCACTGTAGGACGTTTGGGCCAGGGGGGTTATGACCTAACCTAACCTAACCTAACCTAACCTAACCTAACCTAACCTAACCAGTTATTTTGTCTCCCTGACACAACACTGATGACGTCACGGCTGCATCAAACAAACGTCGTTTTATTATTTACATCATTGTTTTCGTATATAAATCACACTCAAACTTCAACACAGGACACGGCTGGACTTTTGACAGCAGAAAACACTGAACCATCGCACGTGAACGGTGGACCAAGATACACATAAGTTGCACAAAGGGGCTATCACACTAATATATTCTTCTTCCGCCAGTGTGGAGCACGATGGTAGCGAGGTGTCCTAAAGGGTGGCAGCACCGAGGGGGCTCCGACCAGTGCTTCCTCATCCACCACTACGGGGACATCAGGAAATTTAGTGACGCTAGATCCTACTGCAAAGCTCACGGCGGCGACCTAGCTACTATCGACACCACTACCACGAGGGTGAGTCTACCTGGTCCTGGCTGAGAAGGAAAGACATATGTAATCTCTCTCTCTCTCTCTCTCTCTCTCTCTCTCTCTCTCTCTCTCTCTCTCTCTCTCTCTCTCTCTCTCTGTTTCAGCTAATCTGCATTTGTAACCCAGTAGGAATAATCAGTGAATCTCGCACTGTGATCACTGCGACTTACAGCGTCTCACACACATTCCATTGCCATCCACAACTGGTCAAGAAATCTGCCATAGGAAACAATTATATCCTGGGTTGATTTTACCCTTTGACGACGATATTTTAAACCCTTTGACGACGATGGTTTAAACCCTTTGACGACGATGATTTATCCCTTTGACGACGATGGTTTAACCCTTTGACGACGATGATTCAACCCTTTGACGACGATGGTTTAACCCTTTGACAACGATGGTTTAACCCTTTGAAGACGATAGTTTAGCCCTTTGACGACAATGGTTTAACCCTTTGACGACGATGGTTTAACCCTTTGACGAAGATGGTTTAACCCTTTGACGACGATGATTCAATTCTTTGACGACGATTATTTGACCCTTTAACGACAATGGTTTAACCCTTTAACGACGATGGTTTAACCCCCTGACGACGATAGTTTAACCCCTCTGAAGACTACGATTTAACCTTTTGACGACGATGGTTTAACTTTAACCCTTTGACTACGCTGATTTACCCTTTGAAAACTATGATTTAACCCTTTGAAAATGATGATTTGACCCTTTGGAGACGATGGTTTAACCCTCTGAAGACTGTGATTTAAGCCTTTAGGCCCCGTTGTGGATGACCTGTGCCAGGGTGGGCTATTCAAAAAAAATAAAATAAAAAAATAAAAATAAAACTTTTGTCGACGTTGTGTTCTCAGGACTGGCTGGCGCTGGCTGTGGCCGAGACGGGAGACGTGGGACAGAACGCCTATATGTGGGTGGGCGCTAAGGAGACGACGGAGGATACCTGGATGTGGGTGGAGACACAGTGCCCTGTAAACCACACTATCTTGTGAGTGAACTTTCATTACTGTTACTCCCTCCTGTTCCGTCTTGTGAGTGACCCTTCCTCTGTGTGTTACTCCCTCCTGTCCCGTCTTGTGAGTGACCCTTCCTCTGTGTATTACTCCCTCCTGCCCGTTTTGTGAGTGACCCTGCCTCTGTGTTTTACTCCCTCCTGCCCGTTTTGTGAGTGACCCTTCCTCTGTGTGTTACTCCCTCCTGTCCACAACGAGGGAATTATTATTGTTTTTCACTATATTGGTCGACGATAATGAATGAACAAATGAATGAATGAGCGACTTAGTAGGTGAGTGAGTGAGTTAATGCGTCGTATTTTATTTTCAGTTTTCAGCAACTTGGGAAATAAGGACACATACCTCTTTATCACACTAGTTAACACATGTTAAACATCTCCATCAAATTATTATAGTAACGCAGCTTATTGGTTGTCTTAAGAATACTGGTCTTTGATTGGTTGAATAGTTCCCCCTACGGTGACGTTATCTGGAGTTGCATCAGTCTGGTTTGTTGTTTAGTGCTGCCGAACCTTAGTTGTGTATGAGGGAAAGTTCAAAGGCAAAAAAGTGTGTAAGATGAATTGGTAAACTGTTTTCGTATAGAATTCAAGTGACCACTGAAGAAACCCTTGTGTGTGACACTTTTAATTGTCATTTACACAGGGTCTTTGCTTCTTATAAGGAAAATCACCTCTGCTTTATTTCCATATCCTCTCTATCTCTTTCCTTCTGCTTCAGGCCGTGGGAAGGGGCGGGCCAGGGGACTTGTGCCGCCTTCACCGCCAACTCTAAACTTATCAAGCAAGACTGTGACCAGAGACTCAAGTTTATCTGTCACCGCAAGATCAGTGAGTATATCTGTCAGTCCTTATTAATGTACAGAGGAACCTGGACTTAATGCGATGAAGGCTTTAATGGTTATATTACGACACGGAACTAATTTGGGAGTGGTTAAGGTTAGATTACAATTGGTCAGTTTGTGTGAGTGTCAGGACGAAAAGGAACTTTGAGGTTTCTTTGGTTTGGTGGTGTCACTAGTACACAAGCAGGATCCTCCCAATGTGGCCTGACGGAGAGCTGTGTCACCAGTACACAAGCAGGATCCTTCCACTGTGGGCCTGACGGAGAGCTGTGTCACCAGTACGCAAGCAGGACCCTTTAAATGTGGCCTGACGGAGAGCTGTGTCACCAGTATGCAAGCAGGGTCCTTCCAATGTGGCCTGACGGCGAGCTGTGTCACCAGTACACAAGCAGAGCCCTCCCAATGGGGCCTGACGGAGAGCTGTGTCACCAGTACGCAAGCAGGATCCTTCCAATGTGGGCCTGACGGAGAGCTGTGTCATCAGTACACAAGCAGGATCCTTCTAATGTGGCCTTATGGAGAGCTGTGTCACCTGTCCACAAGCAGGATCCTTCCAATGTGGCCTGACGGAGAGCTGTGTCATCAGTACACAAGCAGGGCCCTCCCAATGGGGCCTGATGGAGAGCTGTGTCACCAGTACACAAGAAGGATCCTTCCAATGTGGCCTGACGGAGAGCTGTGTCACCAGTACACAAGCAGGGCCCTCCCAATGGGGCCTGATGGAGAACTGTGTCACCAGTACACAAGCAGGATCCTTCCAATGTGGCCTGACGGAGCTGTGTCATCAGTACACAAGCAGGGCCCTCCCAATGGGGCCTGATGGAGAACTGTGTCACCAGTACACAAGCAGGATCCTTCAATGTGGCCTGACGGAGCTGTGTCATCAGTACACAAGCAGGGCCCTCCCAATGGGGCCTGATGGAGAGCTGTGTCACCAGTACACAAGAAGGATCCTTCTAATGTGGCCTTATGGAGAGCTGTGTCACCTGTCCACAAGCAGGATCCTTCCAATGTGATCTGACGGAGAGCTGTGTCACCAGTACACAAGCAGGGTCCTTCCAATGTGGTCTGACGGAGAGCTGTGTCACCAGTACACAAGCAGGGCCCTCCCAATGTGGTCTGACGGAGAGCTGTGTCACCAGTACACAAGCAGGATCCTCCCAATGTGGTCTGACGGAGAGCTGTGTCACCAGTACACAAGCAGGATCCTTCCAATGTGGTCTGACGGAGAGCTGTGTCACCAGTACACAAGCAGGGTCCTTCCAATGTGGTCTGACGGAGAGCTGTGTCACCAGTACACAAGCAGGGTCCTTCCAATGTGGTCTGACGGAGAGCTGTGTCACCTGTATACAAGCAGGATCCTCCCACCAACGTGGCCTGACAGAGAGCTGTGTCATCAGTACACAAGCAGGATCCTCCCAATGTGGTTTGACGAGAGCTGTGTCACCAGTACACAAGCAGGGCCCTCCCAATGTGGTCTGACGGAGAGCTGTGTCACCAGTACACAAGCAGGGTCCTTCCAATGTGGTCTGACGGAGAGCTGTGTCACCAGTACACAAGCAGGGCCCTCCCAATGTGGTCTGACGGAGAGCTGTGTCACCAGTACACAAGCAGGGTCCTTCCAATGTGGTCTGACGGAGAGCTGTCACCAGTACACAAGCAGGGCCCTCCCAATGGTCTGACGGAGAGCTGTGTCATCAGTACACAAGCAGGATCCTCCCAATGTGGTCTGACGGAGAGCTGTGTCACCAGTACACAAGCAGGGCCCTCCCAATGTGGTCTGACGAGAGCTGTGTCACCAGTACACAAGCAGGATCCTCCCAATGTGGTCTGACGGAGAGCTGTGTCATCAGTACACAAGCAGGATCCTCCCAATGTGGTCTGACGGAGAGCTGTGTCACCAGTACACAAGCAGGGCCCTCCCAATGGGGCCTGATGGAGAGCTGTGTCACCAGTACACAAGCAGGATCCTCCAATGTGGTCTGACGGAGAGCTGTGTCATCAGTACACAGCAGGATCCTCCCAATGTGGTCTGACGGAGAGCTGTGTCATCAGTACTGGCAGGATCCTCCCAATGTGGTCTGACGGAGCTGTGTCACCAGTACACAAGCAGGATCCTCCCAATGTGGTCTGACGGAGAGCTGTGTCACCAGTACACAAGCAGGGCCCTCCCAATGTGGTCTGACGGAGAGGTGTGTCATCAGTACACAAGCAGGATCCTCCCAATGTGGTTTGACGGAGAGCTGTGTCACCAGTACACAAGGGGCCCTCCCAATGGGGCCTGACGGAGAGCTGTGTCACCAGTACACAAGCAGGATCCTCCCAATGTGGTTTGACGGAGAGCTGTGTCACCAGTACACAGGCAGGGCCCTCCCAATGGGGCCTGACGGAGAGCTGTGTCACCAGTACACAAGCAGGGCCCTCCCAATGGGGCCTGATGGAGAGCTGTGTCACCAGTACACAAGCAGGATCCTCCCAATGTGGTTTGACGGAGAGCTGTGTCACCAGTACACAAGCAGGGCCCTCCCAATGGGGCCTAACGGAGAGCTGTGTCACCAGTACACAAGCAGGGCCCTCCCAATGGGGCCTGATGGAGAGCTGTGTCACCAGTACACAAGAAGGATCCTTCCAATGGGGCCTGACGGAGAGCTGTGTCATCAGTACACAAGCAGGATCCTTCTAATGTGGCCTTATGGAGAGCTGTGTCACCTGTCCACAAGCAGGATCCTTCCAATGTGGCCTGACGGCGAGCTGTGTCACCTTTACACAAGCAGGATCCTTCCAATGTGGCCTGGCGGAGAGCTGTGTCATCAGTACACAAGCAGGATCCTTCTAATGTGGTCTGACGGAGAGCTGTGTCACCAATATACAAGCAGGATCCTCCCAATGTGGTTTGACGGAAAGCTGTGTCACCAGTACACAAGCAGGGTCCTTCCAATGTGGTCTGACGGAGAGCTGTGTTACCTGTATACAAGCAGGATCCTTCCTGTAAGGGGGCGTTTTTTTTCCAACATTCACAACACCCTTATCTTACTTACTACTATTGTTCTTTTTTTGCAACTTAAATCACAGCTTCAATTCCCCTGGCTTTGATCAATGATTAAAAACAATCCCACCACTATAGCCACCAATTTATACTGCCAGACTGGGGTCACTAATTCTAAGGGGAAATACTTAACTCTATTCTTAATTTCTAAGGGTTGCTGCCACCAGATCCCCTCTGGGCAGTATGTAGCTCGTTAGGTAGCGGGCAGAGTGACTTAGGCATTGGGCTAGGTTTTTGATTGACCAGATCGATCAGGGGAAGGAAGGGTGAAACCACAACATGTCTTAGTCCTTTCAATTGTTCTTTCTACTTACTTCAGTTCATTGGTTGCTACCTAACCTCAGTTCTTTTTTGTAGCATGTCGAGGGTCTAGGCACCTGGGACTTGCAATTGTGATATCGGGTCACTTGGACGGAAATAAAACTGTTATTCTGCGGGAAATGAATACTCCTAAAATACTCTAAGAACAGGTATATTTATATGAAATCAAAGGGAAAAAAGGGATATTATTAACATATAACTTCAAGGGGCAACTCCTCGGCTTACTGCAGACTCAGAATTTTCTTATTTTTACTCGACTGCAAATTACATTTCATTACATACATTACAAACTAAATGATACTTCACTAACTGTTGGTAGTGCATATGAGATGCACTCACAACATCCAACATGTTATTACTGAAACCAACTCATACATGGGTCCACTACCCAACATGGGGTACTTATTCCAAAATTACCCCCCATACACATACAACAACACTGTGGACATATAATTCCAAGGCATGTCCCAGGGTATCACACTGGCGCCTGTAACACTGACGATTGCTGTGGTGATTGGTTAAAGTCAGACACATGGCGAGTCTGGGGTCTAGCTCCACGAGGTAGAGTGGAGCCAATTAATAATGCCGAATGAGCACCATCGCTCATATATTGACCACTGCTGAATATCCACCGACTCCGAGCGACAGGTGGGGCCTCAATTAAGCCCCACTGTACCTGAGAACGAAGTTGGAAGGCGTTACTGGTGATTTGGGGAAGCATGGTCGCTCAAACACAAACAACATCTCTTGTCTAGCGACGTCAGACGACATTTACTTTATATTACTTCTTACTGGGTGAATGATAATTCCACTGTTAAGGCATTAACACTGATAATCACTACAATTGACTGAATCAAACTGAATGGCTAGGGAACACAAAACATACCTGAGAGCGAAGTTGGAAGGCGTTACGGGGGATTGATCTCCCGTCTCGCTCTGGTTTATATACCCCTGAGTTGTCAGCGATCGCTACTCACGCAATGACAGAAATAACAAACAAACCCAACTGTTACTCATTCAAGGATGACCCTCCGTTGACAAAGGTCTGGCGAATTACTAAAGTTGATTTACACAGACTAATTCAAGATTCAGTTTGCCAGTAGAGAGTGGAAGAAACGTATTGACAACTGTGTTTGAAGGCGGGACTTACTGGGAGGGATCCCGAGTGTAAAACGAATGGGAAAAACACGTCTCTCCTTAATGCTATGAATACATACAATTAATATTATATAACCGTACCTGGGTACAATACAACACATGATTCCGTCACATTCATTTGGTGAGTTAGTCTTTATCAATGACCCCCATTTTCTGAGGTTCTACAAGAGCAGTGGATTTGAATGTTATGTAGCGTAATATGAATTAAAGGGGGTTTTTAGGAATGACAATGATGTGCGCAGCACATAGCCTTCCCCTCCCAAAGATTCATATTCTGCGGAATAATATGCAAAAGCACTAACGAGGTAGTGTACATACATTTGACACATCTTAACAGTTCGTGATTATAGTACCTTAATATAGAAAACAAAACATAAGGAGGCTTAAACGTTTCCCACTAGCGTCTCCGCTACCTATACATGCAACAATTTATCAATTCCGTTATTTCAGTACAATACAGTATAGGGAACATGTCCCTAGCAGTTCGTCAGTGTTACATCAACATATTTTTGGCATTAACACATAAACAGTGACTCTTTGACATTACATCTACAACAAAAGTTCTCTGCATGAAATTCCATATACTAAGGAATTTAAATTCTTGTCTATGAATGGGGAATCAGTTACACAGACACTTCCTCAGATTACTACTCCATTTCAATAATAATTCGCCTTTTCAAAACAAAGCCTTGGTTCTATAATTACACAATGAGGCTCATAACAACAAACCTGGATTTTCTATCTCACAGTTCAGAAGAACTGGCATTTTAAGGTCGGGGTGACTCCCTCACCCAGAGTGAGTCAACAACCCAAAAAAAAACTTCCGACACTCATAAAAACTGAGATTTCTCCCTTCGACAACATAGGCAGTAACTGGATTTCCGGACTTCAGTTCGTAAGAACTGGGATTTAAACTGTCGGGGTGATTTCCTTACTCGGAACGAGTCAACAACCCAAAAGTTCGGATAACGCACATAAACTGAGATTTCTCCCTTCGAAAACATAGGCAGCAACTGGATTTCCGGACTTCAGTTCGTAAGAACTGGGTTTTAAGATGTTGGGGTGACTTCAGTACAACTGACGAAGTCAACAACCCCCCCCAAAAAAAACATTTTCAGACGGCTGATCTTCAAAAAGCATCCCGACAAACCATCTGAGCAACTGTCTCCCCCACCAAAAAGATTATAATTAAACAAATCAACTTAAAAAAAAAATATATAGACATTTCCATTACTGAGAGTCACGCTCACAAAAAAAAAATATTAGTAATTCGGTAATACTTTACAAGACTGTCCCCTCGGTACTCAACAAGTATTCACTGTCTTTTCAATTGCCCTGACTTTAACACTGTCATCACTTTACAATGTACTCTGTTGTACTCACACTTGGGGGTCCTTACATGTATTTTCTACAATCAATTTTCAAAGATTGCGTTCTTTCATAGATGTCCATATCACCACACTCTTAACACGGCATATGTTCACTGCTTGCTCATTGTCTGTAAATATCAAAGTATTAACTCGAGTGATCACACAATTGCTATGTTACCAGTGTAAAAGGCACCCCAAAAAATACTACCTTGGTATACAACAACACTTCTCTGATACTCACAAAAGAATGTAAAAAAAAGAGTTAGGTAGCTAACCTCTGATTCTCAGACACTTTTCAACACTGAACTTCTCAATTTTCCACACTTCACTGTACACTTTACTTTCAAACAGATTTCTAATTTTCTGGAGGCAATTGTTCTAACCTAACATCAAGTAAAGTATTTGCCGTGAACTGTTTTCAACTTCTCCGTAAAACCACAGAAAAAAAATTGCACAGAATTACAATCTATACTGTACACTGGAAAAATTACGGAACAAAATTATTAGCAATCTGAAATATTCATTAGTTTCAGTGAAATGGTTAGGTACTTGTACAGAGAAATGGTTATTACAAATCACACTTAAAAAAAATATCCACAGTATCACATTTATTCCTACTGACCTGATACCATGTAAATTACATCACCACCCGTGCCACCAATGTAACGGGGCAGTTTTTTCCAACAATCACAACACCCTTATCTTACTTACTACTATTGTTCTTTTTCTGCAACTTAAATCACAGCTTCAATTCCTCCAGATTTGATCAATGATTAAAAACAATCCCACCTCTATAGCCTTCAATTTATACTGCCAGACTGGGGTCACTAATTTTAAGGGGAAATACTTAACTCTATTCTTAATTTCTAAGGGTTGCTGCCACCAGACCCCCTCTGGGCAGTATGTAGCTCGTTAGGTAGGGGGCAGAGTGACTTAGGCATTGGGCTAAGTTTTTCATTGACCAGATCGATCAGGGGAAGGAAAGGTGAAACCACAACATGTCTTAGTTCTTTCAATTGTTCTTTCTCCTTACTTCAGTTCATTGGTTGCTACCTAACCTCAGTTCTTTTTGGTAGCATGTCGAGGGTCTAGGCACCTGGGACTTGCAATTCTGATATCAGGTCCCTTGGACGGAAATAAAACTGTTATTCTGCGGGAAATGAATACTCCTAAAATACTCTAAGAACAGGTATATTTATATGAAATCAAAGGGAAAAAAGGGATATTATTAACATATAACTTCAAGGGGCAACTCCTCGGCTTACTGCAGACTCAGAATTTTCTTATTTTCACTCAACTGCAAATTACATTTCATTACATACATTACAAACTATATGATACTTCATTAACTGTTGGTAGTGCATATGAGATGCACTCACAACATCCAACATGTTATTACTGAAACCAACTCATACATGGGTCCACTACCCAACATGGGGTACTTATTCCAAAATTACCCCCCCCCCCCCATACACATACAACAACACTGTGGACATATAACTTCAAGACATGTCCCAGGGTATCACACTGGCGTCTGTAACACTGACGATCGCTGTGGTGATCGGTTAAAGCCAGACACATGGCGAGTCTGGGGTCTAGCTCCATGAGGTAGAGTAGAGCCGATTAATCATGCCGAATCAGCGCCATCGCTCATATATTGACCACTGCTGAATATCCACCGGCTCCGAGCGACAGGTGGGGCCTCAATTAAGCCCCACTGTACCTGAGAACGAAGTTGGAAGGCCTTAAGGGAGATCTGGGGAAGGATGGTGGTTCAAACACAAACAACATCTCTCGTCTAGCGACGTCAGACGACATTTACTTTATATTACTTCTTACTGGGTGAATGACAATTCCACTGTTAAAGCATGAACACTGATAATCACTCCAATTGACTGAATCAAACTGAATGGCTAGGGAACACAAAACATACCTGAGAACGAAGTTGGAAGGCGTTATGGGAGATTGATCTCCAGTCTCGCACTGGTTTATATACCCCTGAGTTGCCAGCGATCTCTGCTCACGCAATGGCAGAAATAACAAACAAACCCAACTGTTACTCATTCAAGGATGACCCTCCATTGACACAGGTCTGGCGAATTACTAAAGTTGATTTACACAGACTAATTCAAGATTCAGTTTGCCAGTAGAGAGTGGAATAAACGTATTGACAACTGTGTTAGAGAGCTGGACTTACTGGGAAGGATCCCGAGTGCAAAATGAATGGAAAAAACACGTCTCTCCTTAATGCTATGAATACATACAATTAATATTATATAACCGTACCTAGGTACAATATAACACATGATTCCGTAATATTCATTAGGTGAGTTAGTCTTTATCAATGACCCTGTTTTCTGAGGTACAAGCGCGGTGGATTTGAATGTTATGCAGCGTAATATGAATTAAAAGGGTTTTTAGGAATGACAATGGTGTGCACAGTACATCCCAATGTGGTCTGACGGAGAGCTGTGCCTCCAGTACACAAGCAGGATCCTTCCAATGTGACCTGACAGAGAGCTGTGTCACCAGTACACAAGCAGGATCCTGCCAATGTGTCCTGACGGAGAGCTGTGTCACCAGTACACAAGCAGGATCCTTCCAATGTGGCCTGACGGAGAGCTGTGTCACCTGTACACAAGCAGGATTCTCCTAAGAATTATTATTCTACTCTCCATTTACTGGCGACGTTAATATGTGGTAATAATGTATACGATACGTAAGGTTGTGAATCAAGGTCTTCCTACTTATGTTAATAGAACAGTGTGAACAACTCTAACTACCGAACCAAGGGGGTAGTATGGATTGTCAATGTTTTGGGATAATTACGGTACTTATGTGTGTACATATAAATCCGTTTAAATGGTATTCCGTAGATGTATTTGTAATTGGGATTATTTTGTGAATGTTTTGTTTGGTTTATCCATTCGGTACCACACCTTATCTCCAGCTTCTTTTTCTTTATTTTTTTTTATGTGCACGTGTATCAAGTTCTAGGGTCAACTGACACTATCAGAAACACTATTGCAGTGAAATTAGGATTAAGCATACATAAGGTCTCTTTAGATTAGGTTAGGTTCAGATGAGATCCAGTTAGTTTACGTTGGGAGTAGGTTAAGTAAAGTTGGATTTATTTGGGTTGGGCTTAAGTCAAGTTGGGTTTGGTTGGGTTGGACTTAGGTCAAGTTGCGTTTGGTTGGGTTGGGCTGGGCTTAGGTCATGTTGGGTTTGGTTGGGTTGGTCTTAGGTCAAGTTGGATTAGGTTAACGTTAGGTCCAGTCACATTATGTTGAGCTTTTCTCGGTTCGGTTTAGCTATTTTAGGATAGGTTAGGTTAGGCTACGATTAGGTGAGGTTAGATAAGGTTAGACCAGTTTATATCAAAAGTTATATAAAGTTAGACCAGATGAAGATTAGAGTAAGTATTATCTTTAAACCTTTTTTGGTTTAATTCGCCTCGACTTGTGTTTTCCCTGTGCCGCACCGTAGACGTCCCTCCGCCCTGTGACTACGAGGATGACTGGGAGCAGCTCAATGGTTACTGCTACAAGGTGAGTTTTGTTTATATTCTTGAAGTCCTTCACAAGTAACTGTTTCAGCTGACGCTCTCTCTATATCATAATTAATGTGGAATTTACATACAATTAATCCTTTTTTACATAGAAATCTGTTTTTATTTTATAGTAACCGGGATGCCTTGAGTTACCCGGGTATCTTTTTTATCAAATAAAGTTAAGCAGAATGTGTAGCCAAATACATAGATGTTTCGAGTATATTAATTCAGCTTGTACACTGATTCAATTTTTTTTTGTGGTTCGTACAGAGGTCTACAGAGGTACACTCATGGCACGACGCCCTGGTAGAGTGTAACATGGAGGGAGCGTCTCTTATCAGCATCACAGGGACACTAGAGCAACAGTGGGCTACAGACTTCGCAACTGAAGCTCACGACAGCGTCTGGACTGGTCTCACCGAAGAGGTAGTGTAAACTATGTAATGGTTCTTCTGCTGCTGAGTACCTCTTTCAGAAATGTTTTTATTCTTTGAGTACGATGTCTTAACCCTTTGAATACGATAACAAAATTGGTAAAATTATCGTTTTGGTCATCCATCTATTTGGAAGTAGGATAGAATCGTTCAAAACCTAACCTAACCTCTCTCAGACGGCGGCAACTTAAAATCCTAAAATTGCTGGATGACCTGAACAATAATAATACCTTATTATGTTACTAATCTAAAGAAAAAATTACACTGAGATTCACGAAACAGTAACTTCTGAAAAAATAAATCGCATTTTTTAAATAGTTTTCATAATCTAACAGCAGCTACTCTACATTAGTTTCTCGTCGATATAATCCATGACAGAAAAACAACCTTTTGACCAGATATTTCATTAAAATTTACGACCAGAAAACATTTGCGAGATAGATATACTGTACATATACTGTACTTGTAGACATTGTTCAGTCAAACTGGCATACAGGTTTACATTGGTTCAGCATGTATATATATTATCCGGAATAAGAGATTTGTTTTCATTGTTTTTAAAATTTGGATATTTACTTCATTTGTTAGGGACATCCAGGAAGCTTTGAGTGGATTGACGGCAACAAAAGCAACTATTCACACTGGGACGAACCCGACCAACCTGACATGTGAGTAGGTGTTGATTAGAGTGGGTGTTGATTAGAGTGGGTGTTGATTTAAGTTGGTGTTGATTAAAGTAGGTGTTGATTTAAGTAGATGTTGATTTAAGTAGATGTTGATTTAAGTAGGTGTTGATTTAAGTAGATGTTGATTTAAGTAGGTGTTGATTTAAGTAGATGTTGATTTAAGTAGGTGTTGATTTCAGTAGGTGTTGATTTAAGTAGATGTTGATTTAAGTAGATGTTGATTTAAGTAGGTGTTGATTTAAGTAGGTGTTGATTTAAGTAGATGTTGATTGAAATAGATGTTGATTTAAATAGGTGTTGATTTAAGTAGGATTTGATTTAAGTAGGTGTTGATTTAAGTAGGTGTTGATTTAAGTAGGTATTGATTTAAGTAGATGTTGATTTAAGTAGATGTTGATTTGGTATTGATTTAATTAAATGTTGATTTGGTGTTGATTTAAGTAGGTGTTGATTTAAGTAGATGTTGATTTAAGTAGGTGTTGATTTAAGTAGATGTTGATTTAAGTAGGTGTTGATTTAAGTAGGTGTTGATTTAAGTAGATGTTGATTTAAGTAGGTGTTGATTTAAGTAGATGTTGAGATGTTGATTTAAGTAGGTGTAGATTTAAGTAGATGTTGAGATGTTGATTTAAGTAGGTGTTGATTTAAGTAGATGTTGATTTAAGTAGATGTTGATTTAAATCGATGTTGATTTAAGTAGGTGTTGATTTAAGTAGATGTTGATTTAAATCGATGTTGATTTAAGTAGGTGTTGATTTAAGTAGGTGTTGATTTAAGTAGGTGTTGATTTAAGTAGATGTTGATTTAAGTAGGTGTTGATTTAAGTAGGTGTTGATTAGAGTAGGTGTTGATTAGAGTACGTGTTGATTAGAGTAGGTGTTGATTAGAGTAGATGTTGATTTAAGTAGATGATGATTTAATTAGGTGTTGATTTAAGTAGATGTTGATTTAAGTAGGTGTTGATTTAAGTAGATGTTGATTTATGTAGGTGTTGATTTAAGTAGGTGTTGATAAAGTAGGTGTTGATTTAAGTAGGTGTTGATTTAAGTAGGTGTTGATTTAAGTAGGTGTTGATTTTAGTAGGTGTTGATTTAAGTAGGTGTTGATTAGAGTGGGTGTTGATTTAAGTGGGTGTTGATTAAAGTAGGTGTTGATTTAAGTAGATGTTGATTTAAGTAGATGTTGATTTAAGTAGGTGTTGATTTAAGTAGATGTTGATTTAAGTAGTTGTTGATTTAAGTAGATGTTGATTTAAGTAGGTGTTGATTTCAGTAGGTGTTGATTTAAGTAGGTGTTGATTAGAGTACGTGTTGATTAGAGTACGTGTTGATTAGAGTAGGTGTTGATTAGAGTAGATGTTGATTTAAGTAGATGATGATTTAATTAGGTGTTGATTTAAGTAGATGTTGATTTAAGTAGGTGTTGATTTAAGTAGATGTTGATTTATGTAGGTGTTGATTTAAGTAGGTGTTGATAAAGTAGGTGTTGATTTAAGTAGGTGTTGATTTAAGTAGGTGTTGATTTAAGTAGGTGTTGATTTTAGTAGGTGTTGATTTAAGTAGGTGTTGATTAGAGTGGGTGTTGATTTAAGTGGGTGTTGATTAAAGTAGGTGTTGATTTAAGTAGATGTTGATTTAAGTAGATGTTGATTTAAGTAGGTGTTGATTTAAGTAGATGTTGATTTAAGTAGTTGTTGATTTAAGTAGATGTTGATTTAAGTAGGTGTTGATTTCAGTAGGTGTTGATTTAAGTAGATGTTGATTTAAGTAGATGCTGATTTAAGTAGGTGTTGATTTAAGTAGGTGTTGATTTAAGTAGATGTTGATTGAAGTAGATGTTGATTTAAGTAGGTGTTGATTAAAGGAGGTGTTGATTTAAGTAGGTGTTGATTTAAGTAGGTGTTGATTTAAGTAGATGTTGATTTAAGTAGGTGTTGATTTATGTAGGTGTTGATTAGAGTAGGTGTTGATTAGAGTACGTGTTGATTAGAGTAGGTGTTGATTAGAGTAGATGTTGATTTAAGTAGATGATGATTTAATTAGGTGTTGATTTAAGTACATGTTGATTTAAGTAGGTGTTGATTTAAGTAGATGTTGATTTATGTAGGTGTTGATTTAAGTAGGTGTTGATAAAGTAGGTGTTGATTTAAGTAGGTGTTGATTTAAGTAGGTGTTGATTTAAGTAGGTGTTGATTTTAGTAGGTGTTGGTTTAAGTAGATGTTGATTTAAGTAGATGTTGATTTAAGTAGGTGTTGATTTAAGTAGGTGTTGATTTAAGTAGATGTTGATTGAAGTAGATGTTGATTTAAGTAGGTGGTGATTTAAGGAGGTGTTGATTTAAGTAGGTGTTGATTTAAGTAGGTGTTGATTTAAGTAGGTACTGATTTAAGTAGATGTTGATTTAAGTAGATGTTGATTTAAGTAGGCGTTGATTTAAGTAGGTGTTGATTTAAGTAGATGTTGATTTAAGTAGGTGTTGATTTAAGTAGATGTTGATTTAAGTAGGTGTTGATTTAAGTAGGTGTTTATTTAAGTAGATGTTGATTTAAGTAGGTGTTGATTTAAGTAGATGTTGAGATGTTGATTTAAGTAGGTGTTGATTTAAGTAGATGTTGATTTAAGTAGATGTTGATTTAAGTCGATGTTGATTTAAGTAGGTGTTGATTTAAGTAGATGTTGATTTAAGTAGGTGTTGGTTTAAGTAGATGTTGATTTAAGTAGGTGTTGATTTTAGCATTTTAGTAGATGTTGATTTAAGTAGATGTTGATTTAAGTAGGCGTTGATTTAAGTAGGTGTTGATTTAAGTAGATGTTGATTTAAGTAGGTGTTGATTTAAGTAGATGTTGATTTAAGTAGGTGTTGATTTAAGTAGGTGTTTATTTAAGTAGATGTTGATTTAAGTAGGTGTTGATTTAAGTAGATGTTGAGATGTTGATTTAAGTAGGTGTTGATTTAAGTAGATGTTGATTTAAGTAGATGTTGATTTAAGTCGATGTTGATTTAAGTAGGTGTTGATTTAAGTAGATGTTGATTTAAGTAGGTGTTGATTTAAGTAGGTGTTGATTTTAGTAGATGTTGATTTAAGTAGATGTTGATTTAAGTAGGTGTTGATTAGTAGATGTTGATTTAAGTCGATGTTGATATAAGTAGGTGTTGATTTAAGTAGATGTTGATTTAAATCGATGTTGATTTAAGTAGGTGTTGATTTAAGTAGGTGTTGATTTAAGTAGGTGTTGATTTAAGTAGATGTTGATTTAAGTAGGTGTTGATTTAAGTAGGTGTTGATTAGAGTAGGTGTTGATTAGAGTAAGTGTTGATTAGAGTAGGTGTTGATTAGAGTAGATGTTGATTTAAGTAGATGTTGATTTAAGTGATTTAAGTAGATGTTGATTTAAGTAGGTGTTGATATTATTAGGTGTTGATTTAAGTAGGTGTTAGAGGAGATGTTGATTAGGTAGGTGTTGTTGATTACAGATGTTGATTTAAGTAGATGTTGATTTAGTAGATGTTGATTTAAGTAGATGTTGATTTAAGTAGGTGTTGGTTTAAGTAGGTGTTGATTTAAGTAGATGTTGATTAAAGTAGGTGTTGATTTAAGTAGATGTTGATTTAAGTAGGTGTTAATTTAAGTAGATGTTGATTTACGTAGGTGTTGATTTGAGTAGGTGTTGATTTAAGTAGGTGGTGATTTAAGTAGATGTTGATTTAAGTAGATGTTGATTTAAGTAGATGTTGATTTAAGTAGGTGTTGTTTTAAGTAGGTGTTGATTTATGTATATGTTGATTTAAGTAGGCGTTATTTAAGTAGATGTTGATTTAAGTAGGTGTTTATTTAAGTAGGTGTTGATTAGAGTAGGTGTTGATTAGAGTAGGTGTTCATTTAAGTGGGTGTTGATTAAAGTAGGTGTTGATTTAAGTGGGAGTTGATTTAAGTAGGTGTTGATATAAGTAGATGTTGATTTAAGTAGGTGTTGATTTAAGTAGATGTTGATTTTAGTAGTTGTTGATTTAAGAAGGTTTTGATTTAAGTAGATGTTGATTTGAGTAGGTGTTGATTTAAGTAGATGTTGATTTTAGTAGTTTTTGATTTAAGTAGGTGTTGATTTAAGTAGATGTTGATTTAAGTAGGTGTTGATTTAAATAGGTGTTGATTAAAGTAGGTGTTGATTTAAGTAGGTGTTGATTTAAGAAGATGTTGATTTAAGTTGATGTTGATTTAAGTAGGTGTTGATTTAAGTAGGTGTTGATTTAAGTAGATGTTGATTTAAGTAGATGTTGATTTAAGTAGATGTTGATTTAAGTGGATGTTGATTTAAGTATGTGTTGATTTAAGTAGATGTTGATTTAAGTAAGTGTTGACTTATGTAGATGTTGATTTAAGTAGATGTTGATTTAAGTAGGTGTTGACTTAAGTAGATGTTGATATAAGTAGGTGTTGATGTAAGTAGATGTTGATTTAAGTAGATGTTGATTTACGTAGGTGCTGATTTAAGTACATGTTGATTTAAGTAGATGTTGATTTAAGTAGATGTTGATTTAAGTAGGTGTTCATTTAAGTAGATGTTGATTTAAGTAGATGTTGATTTAAGTAGACGTTGATTTAAGTAGGTGTTGGCTTAAGTAGATGTTGATTTAAGTAGATGTTGATTTAAGTAGGTGTTGATTTAAGTGGATGTTGATATAAGTCGATGTTGATTTAAGCAGGTGTTGACTTAAGTAGATGTTGATTTAAGTAGGTGTTGATTAAAGTAGGTTTTGATTCAAGTGGGTGTTGATTAAAGTAGGTGTAGATTTAAGTGGGTGTTGATTACAGTAGGTGTTGATTTAAGTGGGTGTTGATTTAAGTAGATGTTGATTAAAGTAGGTGTTGATTTAAGTAGGTGTTGATTAAAGTAGGTGTTGATTAGTGTAGGTGTTGATTAGAGTAGATGTTGATTTAAGAAGATGTTGATTTAAATAGGTGTTGATTAAAGTAGGTGTT